TCGATCGATCGGGCCTCGAAGGTCGGGTAACCTTCTTCGTCAAGTATATCCTTCCCCTCCCTCGTGGTCCATCTAGCAGGGAAGAAACTGTCGACATACCGACACAGAGTACCATAAGCCTTCTTGTCTTCGGGGCTCATCTCGCCTGCGGACGTGTGGTAGTACCCGATGCCATGCTCATAGTGCCTCGAGGTCCAATGCAAGGGAAATTTGGCCACGCGCCCTAACACCGGGCATCCCTCGTCGTCTAGAAGGGCTTCTCCGTGGTCGTCGGTCACGACTGTTTCTTTCTCATACACAGATTCTAAACCCGTTGTGGTAACCAGCCTCACAATGTACCACTTGTCTTTAAAGCCCTGGACGGAATCCATGTACATTCTGAACAGTCTCTTCGAATGCTTCAAGGAAACCCAGCTATGCCTCCCTCCCCGGGACTGGCGCTGTAAGTGGAAGACTCTGAAGAAAAGGGGTATGGTCGCCCCAATCTTTAGAAACCGACAAGTTAGCTCGAACGCCCGGATGAAAGCGAGCGAGTTTGGGTGAAGTTGCGACGGGGCCAGCTCCAGATGGCTGAAGACCCCGACCTGAAAATCGTTGAAGGGCAGCTATAATCCAAGGTCCTTGAAGGCAATTTCATACATGGGGAATCCATACCCGGGGAACTCCGAGCAGATCCGTGCGGTGAAAGTTGGTCGCGAGACGACAAAGTTCTTCTGGAAACCGGGCTGGCCACTGCCCTTCTCGAGGATGGTGTATGCACTTCGACTACGTCGACTGTAGGCCGAAGCTATCCCTTTGGGCTCGGCGCCCACCCATTCCAGCAGAGGATCCTCTATAGTGTCAACCAAAATCACGTTTTCATCAGCACTTTGGTCTTCCACCTCGGTGCGCCCTGAAGAACACGGTTCGTCCGCCATGGTTACCTACAAAGCACAGGAAACCGATCAATTGGGAGCAGAACCACATGCTCACCATAACTGACGGGATGAAAGGCACGGCAAACCGCGTCGCTCCTCGCACGACCACAAAGTTGGTGTTTCGAACAAAAAGAGCATAGTCACCTCCCCGACTCCCAGATACCACGACAAGCCTCCCTACAGATCGCCTAAGTGGGTCAATGTCTCGACCACTCACGAATATGTCGACCTAGACTATGAACGTGGCGAGCGATATCATGCATCTCAAAACTAGAGCCATGAGTTACCCGGGCACCACCAAGAATTAGGCGCCCCGAATCATGAAGATCCCGGGCAACACTGCTAGTTAAATACCTAAACTATGCATTTTCCGGGCGCAAACATGCGTTCGCCGGGCATAAACATGGATTTGTCGAGCTAAACACGAATATACCGAGGCTAATCCCAGGCGTACAGTCTCTAAACGTCTAAAAACAATGAAAAATCATGTATCACAGAGGAAAAACAAAGGAGACAAGACACTTGGAATCAGGAAGGAAATGTGACGACGGAGAAAGGGAATCGGCGACGGAGATCACGGAGGTCCTATGAGTATCTGGGAAGAACAACAAACAGCAGAAACAGAGGAAAGAGGAGAGGCGCGAAGAAGAAAAATACGTTCTGGGGCCCAAGGACCCTATTTATAGTGATGACGTGGAATACGAAACGTCACCCCGGGGAACCACAAAACTTCCCTCCTCGACATGTAGCTCCTCTAGGCAATGATGACCCTATCGTCAGTAGGGTGGCGGCACGGTTCCCAAGAGATGCCTCATGTGCTCAACGGACGCAGCCCGTCGAGAGTCCCCGAGCGCTCCTCGAGCGGAATTATCTCATGGGCCCGACACGGGGAAAACTCCTCGAGCAAGCCGCGGGAACTACATCTTTTAGCCGGGAACGGGACCCCGTGACGCAGTCGACCTAAGATCAAATCATGGCTCCCACTACAAGAACCACGACTTGGGGGGCTCTTGTTCTGGACTGGGCCGGGCTGGCCCAAGAGCAATGGTGAAGGCCCAATCCAAACGGTCTTGCAAGGAATCACGCCGACCAAGGGCCACAGCCGTGCCCGACACTCTATGCCAGTGTGACATCCTCGACTTCATGCTATCCTGCTCGACCTCAGCTCGAGCACTCCTCCAAGGGCAGACTCTGTCCACTACACCACCACCTGGATCCCGAAAAGACCGCGTCCTTGTCCGTCCGTACTTCACGCAGAACATCCAGGAAGGGGACCACGTGCGGATCCCCACTACACACGTAGAACCTGGCAGTTCCTGCATTTGGCCAAACCTGCCCGGCCCAATGAAAGAACTTTGGCCCAGCGCTAGGGGCTATAAATATCCTCTGTTCCCAGAGGGTCAGGTATTCATTCTTCTACCCATACTCATACTATTGCCTGCTCGTGCTTTTACTTACTTCAGCATCGGAGTGCCTTGCAGGTACCCCCACCTCGTTCAAAACTTCAGCTCGAAGCCAGCCGTGATGGTCCAAGTCTGATCAGGTTAAAAAATATGATTGATTAGATAGAAAAATTAATAATTTATTAAAAATTAAAATAAGAATGAGTAACATATGATATGTAGGAAATTAAATAAAAAATAAAAAAGTTTTGTAAAGAGAGAATTTTTGAAAAATTGGCACGTCAAGTTACTTTAAAGGTATATAAAGAATTTCTTTTAAAAATATTAAATTAAAATCTATTAAAATGAAAATTAAAGAGAGAGTTTTTGAAAAATTGACACGTCAAGTTACTTTAAAGGTATATATAGAAATTTTTTTAAAAATATTAAATTAAAATCTATTAAAATGAAAATTAAAGACTTCATATAATTTTTTTTTTAAAACAACAAGGTTAAAAAATAGGGGTATATTTAAAAAAAATTGAACTGTTAAAATAAGAATTATTAAATTGATAATTAAATAATTTTTTGAGCTATTAAAGTGGAAATTATTAAATTAAGAAATAAAGACTTATTATATAAAAAAATTATGAAAATTTGAGTTATAAGATAAATGAGATATCATTTCTAATAAAATTAAAAAGCAGGAGGTTTTGGGAAAGTGACACGCGTCAATAAAGTGTAACTTATTTTATAACTTTGTGAAAGTGACATATCATCGAAGTATAAATTATTTCAGATTTATTTATATAAAGTAATCTACAATTTACTATCGTTTCAACTTTACAAAAACATTTCTTTTATAAAGTTTTTTATTTTTTATTTACACGTCAGAAAATTATAAGTTATTTTAAAGTTATACATATATATAAAAATTAATAATTTATTAATTCATAAAATAAGAATGAGTAACATGATATCTGGGAATTTAATAAAAATTGAAAACTTTGTAAAATAAAAATTATATAAAAAAATTAAATCATTAAATTAAAAGTTATTAAAATAAAAATTAAATACGTCATATAAAAAATATAAATAAATTTAAATAATTTTTTTTATTTTAAAAATGGGGTAATATTCAACGAATTTTTTTAAATATAAAAATTAAAAATTAAAGAATTTTTTGAATTATTAAAGTGAAAATTATTAAATTAAGAACTAAAAACTTCTTATATAAAAAATATGTGAAAATTAGAGTAATAAAATAAATGAGATATTATTTTTAATAAAAGTAAAAAATATGAGAGTTTTAATAAGGTGAACGCGTCAGCAAAGTATAATTTACTTTATAGTTTTGTAAAGACAACACATCATCAAAATATAAATTATTTTAGAATTATTTATATAAAGTGACCTACAGTTTTTTTGAGGTGTCAACTCTATAAAAATCTTCAATTTACAAAGCTTTTCATTTTTTATTTACACGTCAATAAATAGTCGGTTATTTTAAAGTTATATAGAGAAAAAAATGTGATCGACGAAATAGTAAAACTAATAATTTATTGATCCATAGAATAAGAATGAATAATATGACATATAAGAATTTGAATAAAAAATGAAAAACTTTGTAAATGGATGGTTTTGATAGAGTTGACATATTTGTAAGTTGTAGGTTACTTTAATGTTGTATATAGGAAAAAAATTTAAAATACTAGATTAAAAAATATTAAAACTAGAATTAAAGACTTCATATAAAAATATATAAAATTTTAAATAAATAAAAAAGGTTTAAAATGGAGATTCAAATAATTTTTTTAACTATTAAATTGAAAATTTGAGATTTTTTTAAAGTGAAAATTATTAAATTGAGAATTAAAGACTTCTTATATAAAAAACCATGAAAATTAGAGTGATAAGACAAATGAGATATTGTTTCTAATAAAAGCAAAAAATGGGAGGTTTTGGGAAGACGTCGCGTCAATAAGGTGTAGTTTACTTTAGAGTTTTTGGGAAAGCGATACGTCACGTCAGCTAAATATAGTTTGCTTTAGGGTAATTTATAACTTGCTAACGTGTCAACTCTACAAAAATATTTACTTTATAAAATCTTTCATTTTTCATTTACACGTCAGCAAATTGTAAGTTATTTTAAAGTTATAGGTTTAATTGTAATTTTGGTCTCTATTTTTATTTTTTTATTTTTAGCCTCTTCATTTTAAAAATTGAGATTTTAGTCTCTTTTTTAGTTTTTTTTAATATATTTTTTATACCCTTTTCAATTTTGATCTAATTTTTAATAACATGACACATTGACTGATGACATTGCAGTTCAAATTGAGCAGTATGATTTCCATGTTATATTATTCCATTTAAAAATTTTTTATCATTAAATTTAATAATTATTAATGAATTGAAGTACAACTAAACTCTATTTTCGTTTAGACTTAGTAATCATTTCCTATAATTGTTCAAAGAGGAACCCTAACCCTTTTACAACAGCAGTTGAAGCTTTCTTAAAGTATAGCAACAATCATTTCTTCTTAAAGTACAACAGCGGCCATTGAAACATTAAGCTTCTTCTTTCCTTTCGCTCCCTTCTCTTTTGTCTATTAGTTGGTTCTTTTTTTTTTAATCAGAAAAAAATATTGAAAAAAATCAAAGGTTACAAAAGGATAGGTGGACCGAGCCCAACCCACATAAATTAACAAAACTTAAAGTAGGGTTTCCCAAGCCTATTGAGAATCATATCTGGAAAAACAAACAAAGGAGCTTCATTCCACAAAACAAAGCCTTGAATGGATAAACAATGGAGATAATTTATCTGTACAATAGTTCTCTTCTCTAAATATATGGGGAAAAAAGAAAATTCATGCTATTGATTTTGAGGATGCAGTTCAACCATCGATTTTTGAGCTGCCATGGAACAATGTTGATGTTGTTAACTGCTAAAGAGACAAGTTTTGAATCTGTTTTGATTCAGAGATTTCTCCAGTTGTTGTCAAAAGCAATTTCAATGGCCTTCATAACACCAGGAAATTCATCCTGTAAAGCGAAAGTATTACCTAAGTTTTCTGCAAAAAAGCCAACGAGGTTTGAAGAATGATCTCTAAAAATGTCGCCTAAAGCAGCAGGTCCCAGAGTGTCGAGTGGAGTTCCATCGATATTCCACTTGATCCAAGATTGAAGAGGAGGTTTCTATAAAACTTCAATGATCCTGGAAGCTCTCGAGGTGTGTAGGTTAACTTTGAAAGTTTTCAATACTTCGAAATCTCTAATGTTGTTCGAGGAAGTTTCTTTTGCGGTGTTGCCAGAAATGCAGGTATTAGAAACTATTATATTCAAAGCGCTTTTCCAATAGATGAATTTGTTATTGAATTTTTTTTCTGATTTCAACACTACCATATGACGTTGAAAGTGTTAATAACAACAACTGGGATAATGATATGACATTGTTTTGACCATGCACAATCTCATATTTCCCAGATGCCAAGAAAAGAGAAAAGAATGTTATGCTGGAGAGTGTTCGATAACCAGGTCCAGAGATTTTGCACAAAACTACAATTTCAGAAAAGGTGATTCGATGTTTTAGGAAAGCTCCCACATAACTCGCATTTTGACGAGTTTAGGTAAATTCCTCTACTCCTTAATAGCTCATGTGTAGGAATTTCATTTTGAATCAGTTTCCAAACAAATAAAGATTTTCAGGGAGGTATGCTTATGTTCCAAATTAGTTTATCCCAATCTATTTGTTGAACAGTAGGATCCTGAAAAAGGTATGCATCCTTAAGGATAGGCACTACTACGGAAAACCCTTTTAACAACAGTTGAAAAACCCATATAATCACACAGGTCCATGCGTTGTTGTGTAGAGTGTTGTTGTAAATGTGTTACTTACAATCTCGGTCTTGGAACCGTTGTAGTATGTTGGAAAATTCATGTGATATCATAACAGTTAGTTAACTTAACCGTTGTTGTATGTATTTTAATAAAATAAAATAAAAATAGCAATAGAACAACAATAGCAGTAAGAACAACAAGAACTACAACAAGAACAAAAAGAACAACAACAAAAACAAGAAGAACAACAACAAGAACATAAAAAACAAGAAGAAGAACATCAAGAGCAACAAAAACAACAAGAAGAAGAAGAGTAACAACAACAACAACAACAATAACAACAAGAACAACAACAATAAAAAAAAAGAACAAGAACAACAAGAAAAACAACAAAAATAACTAAAAAAAAGAATAATAAGAACAACAACAACTTACGTTGCTAACTTGAATAAATACTTTCCTTGTCTCATTCAAGATGGAGAATAGATGCTTTCGAGTTTTGCTTATAGAAGAAATGATATTTTCGATCTTGGTTTAGTGGAGAAATAGAGTACCGTAAATGAAAGATGATGTTTGAAGGTAGAGGATGAAGTTCGTCTAAGTTGAAAGTTTGTCTAAATTTTAGGTTTCACGCGGATCGCTAACAGTGGTTTCCTGAGCGTTGATAGTCACTTGAATGGACGATTGAGATTTATTAAAGGATGGTGAAGAAACTCAATAATTACGCTACATACAATAAATGTTGTATTAAATAACCGTTGTTGTATGTATTTTAATAAAATATAAAAAATGCAGCATTAAAAAAGCAACAACAACAATATTTGAACTCATGACCATGTGCTCTACATACAACAATGGTTGTATTACATAACCGTTGTTGTATGTATTCTAATAAAATATAAAAAATACATTAGTAGAACAACAACAACATCAAGATTCCAAGTCATGATCATGCGCCACTTTTTACCGTGGTTGAAACTTCCAACCGTGGTGAAAAGTGGCTTAATTTCGAAAATAAAAAAAAACGCCTAGTAGAATAGATTCTACCACAGTGGATCCTTTGAAGTGGTAACTTAGGTGTTGTTGTTTGCGTGTTTTATAGTAGGTAAGGTCCCTTGCTAAAGAATGGATTCATCTTAGGTTGTCCTCTCTCAACTTTTCAGGAATGCAGACATTCTTGATAATGTTAGGTAATTCTAGGTATCTGTTCACTAAATCTTGAGGGAGATTCTAACTATAGTTATGAATAAAGTCTTGAACTTTAGAGATTAGGGAGTTATGATGAGGGATGTGTAATTTTTCCACTAGTGGCTTACCACACCAAAAGTCTATCCAGAAAAAGATTGAATTGCCATTTCCAAGGTTCCAATTAGAGTTTTCCACCACCACCTGGAATTGGCTTTTGATACCAGACCAAATTGATGTAAAAATGTGATATTTAATAGGTTATTTATTACCGAGGACCCTAAGACTTAGGGATTTTGTCCATTGGTTGTCATATGTTGAAAGCTCCCAACATCGTTTAAGATTAGCAGCATCATTAATCCTAGAGATAGATCTAATGCCAAGATCTCCTTATGATGTAGGCTTGCAAACCTTGTGCCAGGCAACCGAGATGAGCTTCCTTTTGTAAATGTCCCCACTCCAAAAAAGTTCATAATGCAACTTTCCAACTCTTTGATGAGACTCATAGGTCAAAAATAAATAATAATTTTGTAAATCAAAATACCATGGATGGTGCTCTTAATAATCTGCACTATAACAGCCATGAGAGAAGAGAGGTTTTCCAAGTTGCTAAGTTGGCTTTAACTCTATCAACAATAGGTTGGAAGTGAATAGATTTGGGCTTGCCTTTAAAAACAGGGACTCCCAAATAGGAGAAAGGGAGAGTTCCCTCTAAGAAACCAAGTTGATGATCCATCTGGTGAGATCTAATGGAGGTAAAGCCAACATAAATGATAGATTTTGGGGGTTTACCTACTGACTAGAGCTTTCAGCATATCCAAGAAACATATTTTTGAGAGCTTCAATGTTCGAGTTCATGGCCTTACAGAAATGCATTATGTCATCTGCATATAAAGCATGGGAGGGAACCTTAGAACCTTTTGGACCTTTGATAAGGTCTAACTTTCCTTGATTAGTAAGGTTAGTAATGGCCTTACTGAGCACATCTTCATCCAGGCAAAATAAGAGAGGGGAAAGAAGGTTTCCTTGCCTAACCCCTCTATTATAACCAAAATAACCTGCTTGAGATCCATTGATATAGTTAGAAAATTTGTAGAGAGAAGGATAATATGAATCCAAAAGCAAAAAAATTCAGAGAAACCAAAATTCTTCAACACTTTTAGCAAGAAATTCTAATCTAGGTTGTCAAAAGCTTTCTTAATACCAATCTTGATAGCGATATTGCCACCAAAGGATTTGAGGTGAAGCATATTGAAGACTTCTGAGGTGAGTCAGATGCAGTCAGATATGGATCTCCCTTTAATGAATCCTCTTTGTTCAGAAGATATAAGGGAGGGCATGATAATGGAGAGTCTATCAGCCATGATTTTAGACAAGATTTTAACCTTGAAATTGGAAAGGGTTATTGGTCTATATTGGTCTACAGAAGATGCATTGGGGCATTTTGGTATCAGGACTATGAAGTTGGCATTCCAATGGGGGAGGATCCATCCTGAGGAAAAAAATTTAAGAGTAGCCTTTATCACATCAGATTTGATGATTTCCCAATAGTGTTGAAAGAAGAACCCTCCAAACCCGTAAGGACCAGGGGACTTATCCTTGTTAAGGCCAAAAACCACATTATTGATTTCATCATGACTAGGAATAATGGTAAGGATAAAATTAGCTTAATCAAAGACCAAATTAGGAATGACCTCGTCAACGAGGCCATTGTCAACACAAGCATTGTTTGTGGTAAACAACTACTCAAAATGATTGGTGAAAATACGAGATATGTCATCTGGCTCAGTGAAAGCCTCCTCACCTTGCTGGATAGAGCTGATTGGTTTGGTGTAGTGCCTTATCTTATTAATCTTGTGGAAATATGTCGTGTTTCTATCTCCATCAATGTGCCATTTAACTTTGGATTTTTCTTTCCAAAAAATGTCCTTCATTTTTAGAGCCATTTCCAAATTAATTTGGGCTGTTTGCTCTTTGTCAAGAAGATTATCAAATGGACCCTCTCTTTAGATTTTTGATTGAATATCATCCAGATTAAATGTAGCTTTTCATAAAGCTTCATGAACATTACCAAAAACTTCCCTGTTCCAATCCTTAAGCTTATGTTTGAGAGTCTTTAGCTTTTTTCCAAGAATGAACATGGGACAACCATATATAGGTGATTCCCAACAAATTTTGATGATCTTAATATAGTCCGGGTGTTTAGACCACATTTTCTAGAATTTGAAAGGGGAGGTTATCTTGAGATTCTGATAGTTGAAAACTAAGAGAAAATGATGGTGGTCTGACTTGTGCCTAACAAGAGTAGAGAAAGAAGAGCTACTTCACATGTTTATCCAGTTTGGTCACATACCACTCTATATAATCTTCTTTCGATGTGATGAGAGCCTCTTCTACCATTGGTCCAAGTGAATTCTGCACCTTTAGTAGGAGATGAATTAGGTTATTAGAATCGTTCCATTGTTGGAAGTCTTCAATAAGGGCTCTTAAAGGATTTGAGAATCCTTTATGTTCATGAGCCCCAAAGATTATGTTGAAATCACCCATAAAACTCCAAGGATTATTGTATTGGCTTTTGAGAATAGAAAGAGTATGCCATAATTCTTTTCTTTTCATGTAGCTGGCAGAGGCATATATTTCTGTCACACTAAAAGAATGAGGACCATCATTGATGATGAAGAAAACTTGTTGATCATCCCTAATAATAACTTAAGGGTCAAGATGTGGGGCACATAAGCACCAAAGGTTTGGGGGTAGATCAGATATATTGTTGGTGGTGAAAAATTTCAAATTTAGTCTAGGAAAGTAACTAGGAGGAAACATAACTAAGGACATCCTTGGCTCGGCTATAAAACAAAAATTTGGTTTATGCTTCTTTAACTGTTTTTTAGAGATAATTTTGTGGGATAATTAGCCAACCTTATGACATTCTAGTATAGTACCTTCATCAGGAAAATTTCAGGGAGACTGCCTTAGCTCTAGTCTTAGGTTCAGTCTTACTAGATTTTTGCACTTCTTTGCCCTGTTTCTTGGATTGCTTTGATAAAACCACTTGAAAATCATTAGTTTTATCAGGTTCCTCGACCATATTGGCCCATGATTGCTTGAGAAATGTCGTGTCCTTAATAACATTATCAGGAAATGTTGTGTTGCTTCTATATATTCAGGTCCATTTGATTGTCTTCATTGATTAGGATGTCCTCTTGGATGTTTTGGTTTTCAAGAATGGTTTGCTTTGTAGTGATGATTTCATCTCTATTGTTTTGCTTAAACACAACAATGGGTCCAGGAGTAGAATGAGGTGATGCTTCTGAATTTTGAGGGACATTATAATTTCTATCGGTTTATGGTTCCAAGACCTAAAATTGATTATTAATTGGGATGGGGGATGTCAGGACATGTTGATGTGCCACAGAGGGTTGGGGGTCATTTGAAATTTTCTCAACTTGTGGGCCAAGGGTTTCTACCTGGTTTCTGACAAAAGACTGATCACGCGTTCCTTTTTGTTTATCTCCAAGTTGCTTCTGCACATAAACTTTTTTGATTACCTGCCTTTAATGAGTTCTGTCTTATTCCACAATAATATTTAGTTTTCTTCAATTTGTAGCATTATGTCCAATGATTTTGCACCTGTCACAGAATTCAAGTATGCGTAAAGAATGCAAAATTTTCTCTTTCCACTGAGCCATCGGTGAGGAATAAAGTTAGGCGGTGGTAGAAGAGAGAAAACCTATCATCGAGAGAAAACCTACCATTTATTTTATGTTGAAAATATAATTTTTTTAAACTATTTCTAGTTGGCTCTTGATCCAAATGAATTATTCAAGGTTATCTTTCGATTCATCAAGCCAACCCAATTTAAGAATAAGGGGAAATAGATGTCGGTGTGACATTGAATATCCAATGATGACATCATGGACTTATGAGAATCCCGGAAGAAAGTTTTATGGTTGTGGTGATTTTAAGGTCATGAGAAAAAAAGGATGTAATTACTTTGAATAGTTTGATTAAGAAATGAGCAATCACGTAAAATAGGTTATTAGATTGTTGAAAGACATGAATGCCGAGCTTATGGAGATACTGAGCGACAATCGAAAAATCGAAGAATTGTTTAAGATGAAGAACATATTTATGGTTTTTTTTTAGTTTAACATTGGTGATGGTACTGTTATTGGTTGTGTTGTAGTCATTGTGTATTATATAACATTAGTGAAATGGAATTGTGTTGAAGTCATGTGTGTTATTGTGCTTGTACTTAGTATTGTGTTTTATGTTAATTAGTTAATGAAATGGAGTTATGTTTTATTGTGTTTTCATTGTATTGAACTTGGTTGATTACATAAGGGCCAAAATTATGTAGCTATATTACGTAAGTGGCAAATTATTTTGTTATCATTGTATTGAACCTGCATGTTTTATTACATAAATGCCAATATTACATAAGTGCTGAAATAGATTAGCATGGTTCATTATAGAACCTGTTTGAACATTCTAGCTATTAATGAGCATGTTTTAGCATGGTTCACTATTGAACCTGGAGTAGCAAAACTTAGTGTAACAGTCGGTACTAAACCATGAAGTAATAGCTAGAATAGATGTTTGGACATTGTAATTAAACCTGTTACTAACACTGTGCGCTTGTTATGTCAACAAAATAGTAAACCTGCAACTAACATTATAATAAAACTTGCTATTATAAATGTTTAACACACAATTTTTGTTCAATATATAAATATTTAAAACGCAATCTATATTCAACATATTGGCTAGTATCTAGAATAGTTGGTATCAAACCATGAAGTAATAAAGGTTACAAAATGAAAAAAAAATGAATAACAAAATTAATACCTTTTGATTTTCAAGCTAACCAGTTTTCACTTGTCTATTCCTGGTTGTCCTATGATAACTATGTTGATTAGTGAAGCTAACAAGTTTCCAAAACTGATCGGTAGTTCTCATGTTAAACCTTATATAAAATGGACATCCTTCCATACATATTCAACATTGAAATCTTCAACATTTTCATCTTCAACATTGTTATCTTCAACATTGACATCTTCAACATGTGCATCTTCAAAATTGACATCTTCAATATTCACATCTTCAACATTGACATCTTCAACATTTGCATCTTCAAAATTAACATCTTCAATATTTACATCTTCAAAAGTAACATCTTCAATATTAACTTCTTCAACATTGTGTTCAACATAAACGCCAATGACTTCAAATCCTCTAACATTTTCCATGAACCTTAACAGATCTTGGTCATTATTCAAAGGCCAAATTCCACAAGAAAAAGAGAACTTAGGATCTCAATACCATAAACACCTTATATTATAATACCCATCACTTTTAATCAATCATTCAATTTCCATATAGGACATTAAGTCCACGTCCCAGTCCCAATTCATTTCAGAAACAATCTTGTAAACATACAACTTCACTAGATGATAAACCATATGGTGTATTCTAAGTCTAACCACTTGATCCTTAGCTGGCCTACACAAATAAAACGTAGCACAATTTATCTAAGACCAAAACACAAATGGGACCATAGCTAGGGACCATAACAGAATACAACATAAACAATTTTGCAAATAAGGTACCACAATAGAACATAACATAAACATATCTATAAGCATGAAAAAACACAATATCTGTAAACATAAAGAATTCAGAAACTGGGGCCACAACTAATCACAAACATACACAAATTTTCAAACAACGATTCAGTGAGTGTTAGCCATATGTGCGTTAAAAATATGATTTTGTTGTTTTCCAAACAAAAACTCAATGGAATCTGGGACTACGACTTATCACAAACATATACAAATCTTCAACCCAGCTGGAACCACAATGAAACAGAATACATACTTGGAAATATAAGATGGCTTTGACATTTTAGAAACACGCATGATTTAATGTGGATGATGGCAATGGAGATGAAGGGAACGATGAGTAGGAAGAGCACAAAGACAAGGAATCGTTAGGGTTCAATGCATTAAGTGTTAATTTTGTTCAATGTTGAATGCTTCTTTACTTGTTCTGATTTTTAGATAAGTTAACTATTAAAATTATAATTCTTAATGCAATAATATTATACTTAACAAAATAAAATATTTTTAAATGAAATAATATGATATGGAAATAATGATGGTCAACTTTAACCTGTCATGTCATCAGTCACTGTGACATGTCATTACAAATTAGACCAAAATTGGAAAGGGGGCCAAAAGTAAAAAGAAAACTAAAAAAGGGACTAAAGCCCCAATTTTTAAAAGCGGGAATTAAAAGTAAAATAACAAAAATAGGGGGACCAAAACTGCAATTAAGTCAACTTTCTATATAGAAAAATGTTATTTATGAAATAGAAAAACTAATAATTTATTGATTCATAGAATAAGAATGAGTAACATGACATGTAGGATTTTAAATAAAAATTTAAAAGCTTTATAAAGGGAGGATTTTTGTTACTAGTGACAAAATGGGACCGGCCCGTCAAGCATGTCCATTTTCCCGCACTTTTTTACAGGGCAAGGCAAGGTTTTAGACCTGCTCCCTTTAATGTGTCCATCCCGTCCCATTTTTTGCAGGCTTTTGCATGCATGTGCTTTTTCATACAATTTTACAATTTTTAGGCCTAAAAGGTTTAATGCTTGCAGACCCGCCCCACCTCACCCTCACTTTTTTACAGGGCAGGTCAATGTTTTAGCCCCACACCCTCAAATATGTCTGAACCACACCGCCCCATTTTTTCGTGGGCTTTTGCGGGTCATGCATGCCTGTTTGCCATCCCTAATTTTTCTAGAGTTGACATGTCTGGAAATTGTAGGTTACTTTAGTGTTATATATATAAAATATTTTTAAAATTTTAAATTAAAAGATATTAAAATAAGAATTAAAGATTTCATATAAAAAAGTTAAAATTTTAAATTAAAAAAAGGTTAAAAATGGGGTTATATTCAAAGAATTTTTTTAACTATTAAAGTGGGGACTATTAAATTGAGTATTAAAGATTTTTTTAAACTATTGTAGTGAGAATTAAAGACTTTTTTATATAAAAATCGTGAAATTTAAAGTAATAAGATAAGTGAGATATTATTTCTAATAAAAGTAATAAATGGGAGGTTTTGAGAAGGCAACGTTAGCAAAGTGTAGCTTGCTTTAGAGTTTTGAGAAGGAGACACGTCAACAAAGTGTAACTTAATTTAGATTTATATATATTAGAGATGACAATGGATACTCATGAGGACCAATACTAGTCTCCTGTTACCCGCTCCATTTATTAAATATGATACATGCACTTGCGCCATCCTATGCGGGTATCCGCCATACGGGTATCCAAGGATTTTGAAATACTCACAGGTATTTACGGATATCCATGGGTACTATTATTTAAATGTTTTTTAAATATTTTTTAAAGAAGTATATAATTATCTAAATTTTTTATCCCTTTTAAAGACAAAAAAATAGTTTCAAATTTAAAACATGATAATAATAACAAAAATAATTCATATTAATTTTATTTCTTCTTTTATCAAATAACTATGGCTTAATACCCTTTTTGGCCTCGTATCTTGACCTCGGTGTCAATTTTGGTCCCTCAACTTTAAAAAAGATCGATTTCATCCCTTATATCTCCAAACTGCGACACGTTAGTCCCTTCTGTTTTGTTCGTTAGTCAAAGTAAAAAAGGGGTCATATGACATGCACTTGGTGCTGATGTGGATTAAACATTACAACAAAATAGTGAAATGCAAATGTTTTATCTCATTTCAATTGTAAGATGCGAACCCTAGCAAAGAGGAAAACTCGAAGGTGATCGAAGACGAAGCAGAAAAGAGAAACCAAAGGTGAAATATTGAGCGAAATCAAACGAAAGAAGCTTACATGCCATTATTGACAACGGTTAGTGATCAGATTTAGTATTATGTCTATTTAATTTCAGTTGAGTTTGTAGGGTTTGTAATGTTATATGTATTGGATTTTATATTTCTATGCATACAATTGTTAAATGTTTAGGTATTCAAATGTTAGGGAGATATGAACTTTTTTTAGCACCAAAGGTGATTTTAAGGAAGCAATAACAACATATGTTGTCCAATTTGGTAGAAACCTAAAGTTTACTAAAAATGACAACAAAGGGGTTGGGGTTAGATTTAAGGAAGGATGTGAGTATGAAGCATATTGTGGCAAGTTGCCAAAGGAGGAATCTTGGAAACTAAGAAAAGTGATTGACAACCATAGTTGCAGTAGATAGTATAATATCAAGATGATGGAAACAAAATAGTTGAGTAAGAGGATTCAAAATTCATTAAAAAAACTATCATAGGATGAAGATTAAAGATATAAAAGAGAAGGAACGAAGGAAGTGAAATGCAGGTGTAAACAAGACTAAGGAAATAAGGGCTAGATTTGCAGCTAGAGACATGGTTGATGGTTCTTTATTAGGTGTTTACACTAGGATTTATGACTATTGTCATGAAATTTTGAGAACAAATCATGGGTCAGAAGTCAAGCTAAATGCCCAATCTGCTCAAGAAGGAATTAAAGATAAAAAGGCCCTATTTCATAAGACTTTACATATGTTATACAACATGTAAGGAGAACTTCAAGTTATGTAGACATGTTATAGGCCTTAATGGTTTTTTTAAAGGGTCTTTATGGAGGGAAAATTATGGCAGCAATTGGAATAGACCCTAATGACCAGATACTACCTATAGCTTTTGCATTTGTAGAGGTTGAAACAAGAGATAGTTGGACACGGTTCTTAGAGCTCTATGTGAGACACCTGTACAACAACTTTAGGAAGAATTAACTTGGAAAGTTGTTGAAAGAAATCATATGGAAGGCTGCAAAATCAACTTATCCACATGCATGAGAAAGAGAAATGAAGGGAATAAGAGTGGTCAATGAAGAAGCCTTTAAACATATGATGAAGACTCCACCAGGGTTTTGGAGTAAATCATATTTTAGGACACATAACAAGTGTGACTTTGTTTTAAACAACATGTTTAAAGCTTTTAGTAGTGTTTTTCTCGAATCCAGGCGTAAGCCTTTAGTAACTATGTTGGAAGATATCATGACCTATATCATGAAAAGATGGGCAAGTAATAGGATATGATTTCAAACCTTATAATTTAGTGATGTGTTACCTAATATTAGAAAGAAACTAGAGAGAACCAGCACATACACCTATTTATTGCTTGTCGGGTAATTATCGTGTATACTGATTCAATCAACCATATTGTAACATGACATATACGATGATTCAATTAAAAATGCTTAATTGTTAAGTGTGGTAGGTGAAAGCAGCAAGGTCATAACAAAAATACTTGTAAAATGACACAAACTACTCAGCCAACTCAAGTAAGTCACGCTAGTCAACCAACTCAAGAAATTCAGGCTACTTAACAAGCTCAACCAACTCAAACAAGTCAACAAACACAAGTTACTCCCGCAAGTAAAGTATCTTAACCATCAAAAGCTAATCAACAAAGGGGAAAAAGCTTAATGTTAGAAGGATATCAACATCAACTGTAACCCCAAGACCTACAACCAAATTAAGTGCAACTGTGAATGCGTTTGGCCCAACTACAAGGAGGACTACTCTAACAAGAAGGACCACTCCAATTAATAAGACAAATCAACATATTTAGGAGTTGTCTGAATGTTTGATTAGAATATTTAAGGAGTCTATTTATCTTATGCTAGAAGTTATATTTTGAGATCTTTTTGTATGCATATGTTTATGTATTTTTAACAAGTACCTTATTATTATGTATTCTAAACAAGTATCTTATGTTTATGTATTCTGAACAAGTATCTTATGTTTATGAAAAATGTAATGTATGGTTTTGTTGAATTATGTTAGAGTTAACCAACCGATACATATTGGTATAACAATTTTATGTTAATGGCAAATATCTTATGTAATGCCTGGTTTTAACAAATTGATATAACATGTTTATATTAAAATTGGTGCATAGTTAACCAACTAATACAAAATGGTATAACATGTTTATGTTGAAACGGGTGCATAATTAACCAATTAGTATAAAATAGTATAACAGTTTTATTTTGAAATTGGTGTATAGTTAACCAACCGATACAAACTGGTATAACATATTTATCAGCTGCTACAGATCAGCAGAAACTTCTGCTACAAAATAGGCCTTCAATCATATCCTTCCTAAATTATCTCCATAATTAGAAAGTCAATATTCTTTTTTATTCTTCCAGGCCT